GGGTCTCGCGACCATGCGTGGCACACCATCTTGCTTTGGCGTTCTCGCGATGCCTCCGACAGACTCCTCGTCCGCGACTGCGCCGCATTCGAGTTGCCGAATTTGTTCAATGGAGTCGAGGAGCGAAGCCGGTCCTCTCCTATCGGGCCTTTACTTCCGGACCTCTCGTTCCTACCTCTGCGACCATTCTTTCCGCCGGAAGCTCTATGATCACCTCCCGCCCCCGGCTGCGCTGGCGCGGCCGGTGTCTTAGGCTTCTTGTGATTATAGGGGCAACCTTGCCCCGCTTCGGGGCAATTCTCCCATTGCTTCACACATTTGCAAATTGTCTCACCTTTAGTTCTTCCGCTCGCCGTCTTATCCGTGCGCAATCCTAATCAACGGGCCGTTGCCGCCATGGCAGAGGCCCTTCGTCCGCCCCCACCACCCTCGTTCATCCGACCTGTCAGGCGGGCTGTCTATTTCTGAAATTGAGGGTCGACTCATGTTCAGAGATTGCCCACTGTTCTCTGCCCCGCATCATGGGAGATTCTACCTGGAGCAAGAGCCATTGATATGCGCGCATTCCCGTGCCCTGAGAATCTCTCGACAATTCATACCACTGCATGGCATACTCAAGCCTCGGGACCCGTCTAATCTGTTCGTAGAAATGCGCATGTACTGAAGCCTTCATTTCATCCGATGGTTCCCTGGCACCGTACAATTCTTGGTAATACTCCATGCATTCACTATTGAAATGGCACAAGTCCTGATTGGGGTAATGTCGATCGATGGTCAGTTTGAAGAGGTCACGGCATATCCAGCGTTGTCCGCTCTCCGATCTGACAGAACACCAAACGCATACTGCTCGCATCATTTCTCGGCCCGCGAGGAGACGCCCCTCTATCTGGCACGAATGCTCCGCGCGATTTATTTGTGAAAGGGAAAAGTATGCTGCACTGACAGACGTTGGTTACGCTTCATCCTTGCAAATTTCTCGAGCAGATTTGTAGCGATCACCATATCAAGGCGCATCAATGCCCCGGAGTCCCCAAGACTTTCCTTCGGCACATCAGGCTCCATGGCTCCAGTAACCCATGTCTGCGCCGCGTAAACATCATGCCATGATCCAAATACCGCCCTTATGCAATGTTACTTCCATTCTCGGAGTGTCTGGGCGCTCGGTATGTCGAATAAGTTTAGTTCTTTGTTCTTTCCAAAACTCCTCCAGTGCACATCCGTTTGATTGGCGTGAAACGGCCGCCAGGTCGGGCCATTGCGGCCATTCGGCCCCCCACCGCCGTCTCCGTCTGAATCACCGTCGCCACCAGGTCCCCCTGGAGGGCCTCTCTAGGTGGTTTGGGCTCACCCGTTTCATCAAACTGCATCACAGCGATCATGCCAGAGCTGGGGGCTGTACTCTGATCGTCTGTCTGATCGTCGTCGCGGCCTCCCGGGTCTCCACCTCCTTCACCAGTCGCGGCTGAGCCGATGGTGGAAGGATGGTGCCCAGACAAGTCAAGGTTGTCAGGAGGCACTGATATCTTGGCATTGAAAGGGACATTCCCAGCATTTGTTCCTCGGGCACACCCCCGCATCGAACCTTCGCTCGCTCCCAGAGACTTCTCGGCAGCCGGCCCAGGAGTGACATGCAATTTTGCGAAGGGGAAGCGTTGGCATGGACGGAGCGGTCAGCGTCGGCATCTTACCAAGATCCGACTGTTCTGCTTTAAAAACTGGCATGCCCATAATATCCGCACGATTGCTCGTCTGGCGCTCGGGCCCAACATCCTTAGGCGAAGCCGAGTGTCTCGGCGCCGTTTCATCGGGATCGTCGTTGACCCGCTGAATATCAGGTACGCCTCGAGGTTCCCCCCTTCTCTCGCGTTCATCCTGTTGCCCAAGCGCTTTCTTCCAAGCACGTTCATCACACCGTTTGGTACCCATTTCCAGATGATCCCTACACGCGCGCTTCAAACAACCCTTGCATACCTCGATGGAAGGTTCGGCACAGAAGTGACAGATCTGACTCGGAATGCCCGTTCGCGCTTGTACTTGCGCGGCGCCAGGCTCCCCAATGGGGCGATCAGCAATCGGATGAGGAAGCGGCTCAACATGCGCCGGCTGTGCAGGCGTTGTTCCGACCTTTTCCTCGGGGTCCACTTCTACCAACGAAGCCTGAGTCATGCGCCCTACTCTTGTCAAAGATTATGTCTCGGGTTGCCTGGCGAATAGAATCTTATCCCGCGATTCTTCGTCCATCCGACGTTGCTCCAGGTCAGACCTCAACCTCCTATTTTCCTCACTCACGGCCCGAGTGGCGAGAACATTGTTTCTCAGCTGCTCATCTGCGCGCCCTTTCAGACGATCCCAGGCAACGGCCACCTTCTTTTGGTCCTCATCTCTGATTACCTGGGCCGTTTGCTCCTGCTCTCGAAGGGCTCGCAGGGTCTCCGACTTTACTCTTTCAGCCTCGAGTCTGGCAGCTTCGAGTTGATTGCGGAGTTCCTGATTTTCTCGCGCTGCCTGTTCTCGGGCTTCTTTCTCTCCTCCCCTCCTGGCTGCATCAGCCATTTCTCTACATTCAGTTTTTTTCCCTCTCAGCTTTCTGCGGGGACTCTAACACCAATTGTTCGGCTATACTCTGGATTCTCAACCTTTGATTCTCCGCTTGGGCAAGGCGCCGCTGGGCTTCGCCTGCAACTCCTACTACGCTGGCCTCAGCATGCTGCATCCGTTTCTGCGCATTTTCCGCAATGACATTTTTCTCAGACTCCACCTTCTGTGCCATTGCCTGCCTCTCTGCCTCAGAAACTGCAAGCATGCTTTCAGCCTCTTCGACGGCCTTCTTATCTACCTGTGCCTCAAGGATGATCTGTTGAATTTGTGCACTCGCAGTCCTCAATTGTTCTCAATCCTGTCGATCTCTTCCCGCCCAGTCTAGGATGGCGATACGATGGCAACTGTGCTCTTCCATCGTAATACATTCTTCATAAAGCCATGCTAGACTACACTTGGGACAAACATTCGAACATTGTGAACACACTGGCCTCCGACATGAACCCCCCGTTCGCGCGCCTTCCCTGGGCATCGATGCTCCACCCGAGTAGGGCACGCGAGCCCGGCGTTCCAGCGGCCCCCCCGTATCGAGAAGCTGTTGGCGGCTCTATTCGATGACACCCGCGGCGATCCAAAGGCGTCAAATCCCATGGAACTGGAGCATCCGGCCATGGGGGCCTTCCTGGAACGCCCCCGTTCACTGCTGGGGGCAGACGCGCATTGTTCTCTTGTTCTCACACCCCTATTGATGAAATCAACATCCCGATTATGTGCTAAATCGTCTCTTTCGTCTTGCATTACTATCTCGTCGAGTCCTGGTACTCTGTCCCTGTTAGTCCTCGGCAATGACAAGTCTGGTCTGTAGGAACCTTGCACTAAAGGTGAAGAATTTAGGTCATCGTTCTCACCGTTCGGCTTCTTTGTCATTGTTCGAGGAGCCAAACCAGCAAATCCTCGTGTTTCCTCATTGCGCGTATGACATCGGGGGAGCTCGACATCAGCTGTGCCGACGAGCATCCACCTCTGCCTGGGCTTCCATCTTCTTCAAAATCATCATCCGAATCAAGAATTGCTTCTGAATTGCCTCACCCGTTACGTGGTCAGCTGTTCCGCTTACTAGCGGAGCTGCGCCTGAGGGGAGCTCGACACATTGATCGGGGAGAGGGTCGAGATGATACGATGGACCAGGTAAGGTGTGGAATCGGGCATATTCTTCGTTCTGCTCAGTCGAATGAAAACTGCCCACTTCCGATTGCAAGTCACTCACATCCTCGCTCTGTCCATCCAACACGAACTGCGCTGCATGTTCTGCGCCAAGGTTCTCGGCGCCCGACATTCCTATGGGAACGCGATCCAACAATTTCTCCATCTCGAGATCCAAGTCGATCGATGGCTGACAGCCCGGATGTACCGACACCATCTCACATGGTCCCTCGGCGGGAGATTTGGCTGCGCCATACCTTCCGCCCGAGGCTTGTGCTCTGGATCTTGTCGCCGAATCAACCTAGGAGTTCCTTTCTGTCAAGTCAAACAAAGTTTCTGACGCTTGCTCTCTGGGAAAGCTGAGATAATTTGGTCGCCTCGTGGAGGCACCTACACTTTCGTTGCGCTCGGAAGGGTCATGATCTTCTGTTCGTCCGAACGCTCCTTCTTGTGATCCCATGCTTTGCGAAGCTAACGGCTGTGCCGTCGCTTCGGTTGATAACCAGTATTTTGCCTTGCCTGGATATTCATAGCAAGATGCTCCGATAATATATCATGGTCGATGGGCTCCGCCGATGACATGGAGAAGAAAAGATAATGCCGTCAAGCATGCAATAGGGTAACATTGAATGGACGAAACCGGCCCGCCGGCCGACGCACGCACGCGCGCCGCAGGCTCGCTCCTTTTCCGTTTCCCTAGAGCCAAAGTGGTATAGCTGCGGAAGCAGAAGCAGTCAGTACATCGGGCAGTGCGCGCAAGGCAAAGGAGCAGAACGGGCTAAAGGATGGTGGTGCGGAAGGGGTGCATCGACCCCCCCTACTGTTGACCCCTTGTGGCTCCCGAACCTTGACTCTCTGGCGGCCGTTCGGGACGATCTGGGCACCGCAGGAACGCTCTCGGCGAGGCGCAGGCGCTGGAAAGCACCCCGAGGCAGGACAACCGCCGAGAACCGACGAAAGAGCCCGAACAACTCGAACCTCGATTCTCCGAGAGAGTCGTCCCCCCCCATTCCCTTGCCCTGGCCGTTTCTCGGGAGCGGCCAAGAGGGGGGTGTCCAAGAGGGGGGGGTGCAAATCATGACCGGCGGCATGTGCGCGGCCCAGCGGGGGGGCCTCGGACGTAATAAAATAAGAAGAGGCGCCATGAAATCTGAGGAAAAATCATGGCCCGCGCCATGAAATCCACCCCCCCCTAGTCATCACCCCCCTCTTTTCCGCTCCCGAGTTTCTCGACGGCCCCCGGAGACCCTGCGCCGGGCCTGTGAGCCCCTCGCCGAGCTTCCACAGCATCGGGGGCGAGGCCGCCGCGGTGCGCGCCTGCCGGGGAGGGGAGGGGGAGAAGGCGGCGGCGGTCGGCTTCGAGTCGAGAGGCTTCCTCCTCCTCCTCCTCTTCCTCTTCCTCCTCCTCCTCCTCCTCCTCCTCCTCCTCCTCCTCCTCCTCCTCCTCCTCCTCCTCCTCCTCCTCCTGCTGCTGCTGCTGCTGCTGCTGCTGCTGCGCTCGCACCGAAAGAGGCGGCCTGTCCCGCCTTCCTCCTCCTCCTCCTCCTCCTCCTCCTCCTCCTCCTCCTCCTCCTCCTCCTCCTCCTCCTCCTCCTCCTCCTCCTCCTCCTTCTGCATGGGGGGGGGACCTGCACGAGGGGGGTGCAGAGAAGGGATCCGAAGGGGCGCCCTTCTGGGGCGCCTGCTGGGTCCAAACGGGGGCCCCAAAGGGTCCCACGCAGGTCCCCCCCCCCACTTACCGTGGGGGCTCGGCCACAAGAAACCTCAGCAAGAGACCCAACCCTGAAACCCACGGTTTGGTCAGTGAAACTCCAGATCTATCCATCGAAAACCGTCCAGATCTGATTGGGGGCCCATCGAAATCCAAGAAACCCAGGGCGCCCTGGCAGAATCCAACTGGTTTCTTGGCACACGCCCCCACTGTACCGCTGCCCGAGAGGCCGGGTCGGATCGGATCCGGCATCGAGTCGGGCCGCACCGACGCGGGGTCGGCATCGAACCGAACCAGCCGCGCCAGGATGCACCCCAGCGCCAGGCGAGCATCGGGCCACACCGGATCGTCGGAGCATCGCAGCCGAGTCGGCATCGGCTCGATCGGATCGAACTGGACCACGGAGGGGGGCAATCGATCTGGGCGGCCCTGGAGGCCTCGAATCCCAAATTTGCGCCACCTCGTGATCGCAGGCCTAGAGATTGACACCAACACCAATTTCGGCGGAGTGCCCCTCCACCGAAGGAAGAAGATCCCGATCTCGGCGATGGTGGTACCATTCTGGCTTCCAGGGTGGCCGAACTACTACCACCAACACCGAAAATCTAGGATCACCTCCCCCCTGTGGAGGCAACCCCCTGTCTTGGTGTTGGTGCCAATTTCCAGGCCTCCGACGTGGCCCCCCGATGTGCGGCGCCTCGCAGAAGTCGGGGCGGCCCCTTGGAGGCGCCACCCCCGGCCTCCGGGAGGCCAGCGTCGGGTCCCAGGGGCCGCCAGAGAATGGCCCGGGGCGGAGGGGAAGAGCCCCTGGGGGGAGGCGACGACGGAGCTTGACCGCCCTTCGTATCGGAGGCCTAGAAATTGGCACCAGCACCAGCACAAGGCGTTGCCTCCACAGGGGGAAGGCGATCCCAGACTTCGGTGCTGGTGGTAATATCTCGGTCACCCTGGCAGCCAGAATATGACCACCATCACCGAGATCGGGATCGTCTTCCCTCGGTGGGGGCACACCGCCGATATTGGTGTTGGTGTCAACCTCTAGGCCTGCGACCCTTCGTACGCAACCTTCCCGTCGCACTTGCTGGATTGGGGAGTCAAGCTGATGCTGCTGAAAGTCGTCTCGCCCGTGTAGCTGCTGGGCTACGCACTCCTACTCTCCAGGCTCTCCGAGGAAGGCGGCAATGTCCGGACCACGCACCAGCAGGACAGGGGTCGAGAGGCCCGGGGCGAGCCTTCATGGGAGCCTTTGTGGACCTCTGCGGCCCAGTCATAAGCGCGATTTCGACCAAATTCCGTCCAGAATTCGACCACCCCTCCTCACCTCCTCGTCCAAATTTCCTGAAGATGTCGTCCAAATGTCGACCAAGGTCGACGAAATCCGCGCGAAGCCCCGGAACCAAAGGAAACTTCGGGAACCTCTGAGGCCCCGGGGCTTGGACATGACAGCGGCAGCTCAGACAGCGCGGACACAGATGCCGACAATCTGGGTAAACACAGAAACATCGACAACTCCACACACTCTCACTCAGGCAGCGGGCATTGGAAACAAACAATTCCAGGAAAGCGGGGGTGCCACAAGAGGAAATGCAGACCGTTGGAGCACAAAGTCATTACTACCTGGGAAGTGCAAAGGTTGGGAAAAGTGCATCGGAAGCTAGAGCAAGTGTTCTACCATATGGTGCAACTGAATATTGCGAGATTGTGCACGCAAGAAACACATCGTACATATTATCATAATGTCATGCGGAATAGGTACTTGGTCATATCATCGAAGATCTCGGAAGAACATGCAGGATATCTAGATTCAGAATCGGCGTCGTCATTGCACCATCCGCCATCGCTTCCGTTATCAATGTTTGCCTGCTGGGGGGCAAGCTTGACATTTTGAAACTCAAAAAACAAGGTGGCGTAGCAAACAGTGTGTGGATACGCCCCCATGCTAGAAAAGACTACGAAATTCGGAAATCATTATTGGACTCCTTCACGAAAAGCCTGAAAACGACCCGGGTCTCACACATGCTCATTCGGCTATGGGGAGATCACTGCCAGGTTTTACAAACAGGAGGTTGGCGAAGAAGATGTGATAGGTGATTACATGTACGAGTCGTCTCCGCCATCACGACTGGCACATCCCAGAAAAACAGATTGTTGGAAACGTGTAGGGCTACACATTCCCTTATTGTCAACACGCTCTTCGAGCAGACCGCCAACAACAAGGTGACGTAATACGGGCCTGCTGGCAGCGCAAACAGTGCGGCTTCCCAAAAGCAGTTTGTCTGGTGGGGGCTGCCAGCGTCGATGTGGTGCAGGATATCTGGAGCGATCGCACAGCGCTGCCGACCAGGTATCTCGTGGTATTGACGAAGTTGAATGTGCACTTCCAGCGTACGCAAAAGAAGGAGCCCAAACAATCTTGTTGCCCAGCCACGCTGAGATGGCCACCACAATTGGACATGGAATTCGGGGAAACATGGATTGACTCATGTTAGAAATTAACCAACTACGCAATCAATGCACAATGCTAAGCTTTGCAGATTTCAGTCCGGGTTCAAGCACGACGACGCCGACCATGGACTTCTGGGACCACCATTGCCTTACTGATACAACGAGACCAGGCGAGAGCAGACGGAACAGGGGAAGAAGCACAATCCGATAAGGAAATCAAGAAAGCAGTTCGACGGGACAATACAAAGTGTCTGGAATATACATTGGATGGTGGCTCTCGGGAAGCAGTTCGGGCAGTGAAAACTACACCTTCGAAGACGCCAGTGGCAATCAAAAACAAAGAGGGGGGCGACGTAGAAAGCGACCAACGATCAAACGTATTGGCACACTATTTCGAAAAAGAGCAATGGGAATCAGTTTCCCAAACAACCTGTCTGGTGGGACAGACTCTCCGAGACACCCTCTACACGTGAACACGGAGGAGTGTGGACGAGTTGACGCAAGCATTAAGAGCATTGGAAGTATCAAAAGCAGCGGACCCGGACTGTAAATATCCATAGTTTGGAAAATTCCGATCTGCATCAGAAGACGCATGCGGATCCCTGCTTGCTCTCTGCAGGGAGTGCTGAAAGCAAAAACGTACACCTACGGATTAGAAGACAGCGAAAATAGTTCCATTACATAAAAAGGGAGGCGCCAGCTTGCCAGAGAACTACCAGCCAATATCGTGATTGACAGTGGGCTGTAAAGGTTGGGCCTGGATGGTGCAAAAACGACTTCAACATGGCGGGGCGGAGGACCGCATCAGATCAACACAGTTCGGCTTCCGACCAACTCGGAGCACAATAGACGCAATCACGATAGCACGCCGTATGGTCGATACTGCGTACGCTGCAGAGGAGCCTGGAGTACTTGCTATATTGTCGGATCGGGCAAAGGCCTCCGACCGCATCACACACGAGTCGCTGTTCTTAGCGCTCGCCAGATTTGGGATTCCAGTTCAAATGGTGGATATGATTAGAGCAACATGTGACGACAGGGAGTTTCATTTGAGAGGTTATGGGGGCGACTCGACGACAAGAAAGCAGAGGGCGGACACTGCGCAAGGATGTCAGCTTTCGCCGAACCTTTTCATCATTGTGCAGACAATCGGGCTGTTCGATGTCGACCAGACGCATCGTTATGTGGCAGTTGATTTCGAGGAGCAGGATTGCGCAGTAGTTGGTGATTTGCCGTACGCGGACGACACAGTTCTCTGAGTGCAAGCCCGGTGACATTACAAATTGTACTCGACTTGCTTATAGAAGAATGCGGAAAGTACGGACTTGAACTCAATTGAAAGAAAACGGTCATGATGAGAATACGCAACCTCAGCCAAGTGTTCTCACCGGATGGACATGCACTGGAATCGGTGTAACAGGCTGTACACTTGGAGGGCCTACTGAGTACGAGCGTGACCAGCAAGCCAGAGGTGCCCCGGGGAATTGGGGAAGCGAAACGAGGATTCGAATTGCTGGCAAATGTTGGAGCCATGCAAATATTACAACAAAACAAAAAAATAGAGCTGCTCGGGCCCGTTAAACTTCCAAAATCATTGTAAAACTTGGACTCGATACGGTTACTCAAAGCAGACCGTAACAGAGAAGGTGCCCAAGAGGCCTCCAAGACGGCACAAGAGGCCTCCGAGAGGGCCTCCAGGAGGGCCCGAAGAGGCTCAAATCATTGATGTTCCTTGGGTTCTTGAAGGATTCTCATATTTGCTCTTTTTCGGCCTTCCGACGGCCCAAGACGGCCCAAGGAGCCCCAAAGATCGCCCCCAGAGCGCCCAAGAGGCCTCCAAGATGGCCTCAGGACTGCCCAAAAGGCCCCCAAGACGGCCCAAAGAGGGCCCAAAGACGGCCCAAGAGGCCTCTAAGACGCCCCAGGAAGCCTCCACGACGGCCCTGGACCACCCCAAGAGGACCCCAAGTCGGCCCAGAGAGGCCAAGACGGCTTCCGACGGCGTCAGCCGGGCCAGGAGCCCAGCAAGACGGCCCAAGAGGCCCCCGAGAAGCCCCCAAAGGCCCCCAAGAGGCCAAAGGAGGCCCTTAAGATGCCTCCACGAGGCTCCCAGGAAGCTCCCAGGAGGCCCCAAGAGTGTCCCCATAGGCTCCCAAGATGCCCCCTCTTCCTCCTCTTCCTCCTCCTCCTCCTTCTCCTTCTCCTCCGCCTCCTCCTCCTCCTCAATCGCCTCCTCCTCCTCCTCATCCTCCTCATCCTCCTCCTCCACCTCCTCCTGATCTTCCCCGCCATCCTCCCCAAGTGTTCCCCGAAGAGTTTCCACATTGGTTGGGGGAACACATGGTCCGATAGCTTGGCGGAGCTCTTGCCACGAACGCTCGGCCACACGGGCGATTCTAGAAGGCAGGGGGCGGCGGTGATTCGCCGTAGGCGTCTTCGACAGCTTCGGGCCGCGGAGACGAGCATCGCAAACAGCGTGGGGGAGAGAGCGCCCGGCGAGCGCACGAGATCCCCTGCCCCCCCCCCCAGCGGAGCAGACGCGCTGAGCCGTGGTCCGTTGCCGGGAACTCCCCCCCCCCCCGGGGAATGCCCTCCTCGGGTGGGCACGGATCGGCCCGATCTTCGCCCTCCCCGGCGGCGCCCACGAGGGAGTGGCGCGAGGGGGGCGGGGCGGTCTTCTGGGAAGGCGGCGGGGGTTCTCAGAAGGCGGGGGCCATCTTGAAGGCCCCCGAGTCTCCCAAGAAGGCCGCCCTGCCTTCTCGGAAGCCTCGCCGCCCTCCGGGAAGGCCGCCCCCCTCCTGCTTTCTCTTCTTCCTCCTATTCCTCCTCCTCCCTCCTCCTCCTCCTCCTCCTCCTCCTCCTCCTCCTCCTCCTCCTTTTCCTCCTCCTCCTTTTCCTCCTCCTCCTTCTCCCACCTCCTCCTCCTCCTCCTCCCCTCCTCCTCCTCCTCCTCCTCCTCCTCCTCCTCTCCTCCTCCCTGCTCCCCCTTTCCCCCTCCCCCCCCTCCTCCTCCTCATGCCGCGCCGTCCCCCGGGTTGGGGGCGCCGCCGACCCCTCCCCGTGCATGGTCGGGAGGGGTACGGCCAGACCTGGGCCAGAAGAACGTCCCTCAAGAGCAGACAATTAGGAGGCAACTACTGGGAGGGTTTCGTCGGAAGGATCAAAAAGGAATAAGCCCCATTGGGGGGCTGTTACGCCGGAGTGGGCCTCATATTAAGCCAGATTGAGCGGGATTAAGCGGGATTAAGCTGGACTAAGCGGGATTAAGCGGGATTAAGCCGGATTTAAGGACCAGGGCAAAGACAGAACTTGACCTCGAGGAGTTGCATCCGAAAGACAGGGGGGCAGTCCACAAGAAACCTTCCACAAGAAACCCAACCCTTGAACCCCAGGACGTCCATTGCTTTTCGGTGTGGGAACATCGCGCCATCTGCGGCAAAGCCATCGAGCCCAAGAGACCCGGAGCACCCTGGAGGCAAGCAGGGTGCTTCTTGGCCTGGGCCTCCACTGTGAGACCCTCCGTCGGCCAAGACTGACAGAACCTCCAAGGGTACCCTCCCCAGGATGCACGAGAACATCCAGCAAGCACGCAGAACACTACTCAGGGCACCCTCCCCGAGCCGACCTCGATCTGGAAACCTCGGTCCGGCTGTACACTCAGAGCACAAACGACACACGCGCGCGCGCCGTCTTTCGGACGGCGCGTGCTGCTCGCTCGCTCCTAACACGCAGACCTGACAGCCCTCCAGCAGCAGCGCGCGGATGGAAGACGGTGCGATGGCGCGGGCGAGGCTGCCGAGCAACGCACGGATGGAAGACGGTGTGATGGCGCGGGCGAGGCTGCCGAGGCAGAGATTCGGACCACGCTGCTCTCCAACATCCCTCTGGCGCGGCACTGATACTGTCGGGAACTCTACCGAGCGTGCCGCGGCGGCGGCCCCAGCGACACGCTACGCCCTGCCGACAGGTAGCGTATGGCTCCTCTTCGCAGGGCGGGAGGTGGGGAAAGCTCGGGGATCTGCTGACCGGGGTCAATCCAGACCCGGGTCAGTCAGGCTCTGCAGGATCTGGCACTGCACCCCTGCAGGATCCTGCAACATCCGGCGCTCTGGCTGACCCCCGCCTGCACTGACCCCCGTCGCTTGAGACCCGAAAAGCCTCGCGACGTTGACGCCTGGGGACCGGGAGGTGGTCAGCGTGTCGCGCCGAGCCAAAGTTCCCAACCGCCCTGCTGTTGCCGGGATCAGTCAGCATCAAATCGGAAAATCGGATCGAAGCGGAATGTGTGTCGGATCGGGCCACATCGGCAAGGAGTCGGCATGGAATCGGATCGGCTGCACCAGGATGCACAACAGCGCCATGCAAGCGTCGGACCGCATCGGATCGCTGGAAAATCGAAATCGAATCGGATCGAACTAGTCGAAATCGAAATCGAATCGGATCGACCCGATCGAAATGGGCCGATTGTCTTGCTGCCTTCGGTGGCAAATCATGGTATCCTCCCATAATATATCCCTGGCTCTTGCGAATCGACGCTCACCGACGCTAGTCGACACTTATCGACACTGAATCGACGCTCATCGACGCTAAATCGGCGCTTGCTCATCGACTGCCAGATGCTATCGCACGCGAATGCACTCTAAAGACGGACTTACGAGGACATACAACGGGAAAACCGAAAGGTACCGATGCCTCTGCTCCCCAGACCTTTCCCCGGGGCGCGCTCTGACCAGAATGTCGAGGCGAATCCAGCGATAGCGACGAGGGCCTCCCAGGGGGCCCCCAAAGAGGGGACAAAAACGAGGGAAGGGTAGCGGCATGGGCACCCTGTCCTCCCCTGACCCCAAAAAAGGCCCCCACGACTTCCCGCCGAAGCTGCCCGAGGACGCCCCGCGGGGGCCCGCCGCCTTGGCCGCGCCAGCGGGCGGGCCGCCGCCCTCCGCGCCGCCGCGCCGCTCCCGCGGCGGCGCCCGCTCGGCGGCGCTGACGCGGCGGCGGTCCCCGACGCGTGGCTCGGCGGAGGAGGCGCGGGTGCGGTCGGCCTGGGGCGCGAGATGATGAGCAACAAGAGCACCCCTGACCCTCTGGGAGGGGGGCGTACGTGAGGGGGGCCACAAGAGTAGGGACAGGGGGTTCTTCTGCAGCTGTATCGGACCAGACCGCCCAGGCGTTTATCCGTAAGTCGGGCGTGTCCCCCTACAGGGGGAGCTTCAACGAAAACTAAAAAAAGTACTCACAAAATGCCCCAAAATTAACCAGAAATACTAAAAATAGCCCCCAGGCTGTTGTTTGACTACTCTGGAATATTCCTGCTGTGGAGGGACGGGCCCGCCTTCAGCTGAAGGGGCCCCAGGACACACAAATAAATACACACAAATCAACGTGTCCCCATATTTTCCTATATTTTCTGGATTTCTGTCTTCCCCCCAACTTCCCCTATTTCCCTGTATTTTCTCTAGGGAATCGAAGATTAATTGTGTCTGTGTGTTGCGTTCCCTCCTGACTAACGCGAAAGACGGGGACCTCAGTGAGGCCTCGAGGAGGAGAGGCCCACGCGCCCAGCGCCTCGCGGCGGGCGCGACGGCGGCGTTGCCTCGGCCACGCCGTGAGGGAGCCCAGGCCTTCCCTGCAGGGCCAGGGCGCGCTCCCCGAGGGCGACCGAGGCCCTCCGGAGACCAGCCGACGAGCCTCCCGGAACCCTTTTTTTATGTTTGTATTGATTTTATTGTTGTGTTGTATGGTTTTTTGGTTGTTCTGTTGATATACATATATATATATATATACATATATAGCCCTGTGCACCCACCAAGAACCCCCTTTCTCATGATTGTATATGATTTTATATATGATTCCTACGATTTTCGGACTCACTTTTGAGGCGCTTTTGTTGGAAGACTTTTTGGGATCCCTTCTACTCAACTCCCTCCGTCTCCAACACAACACCCATTACTCAACAGCCTCCTTCTCCAACACAACACCCGATACTCAACAGGCTCCCTCCCCAAGCTGAACTTGAAAAGAACCTTCTACTCAACTCCCTCCGTCTCCAACACAACACCCAGTACTCAACAGCCTCCTTCTCCAACACAACACCCGATACTCAACAGGCTCCCTCCCCAAGCTGAACTTGAAAAGAACCTTCTACTCAACTCCCTCCGTCTCCAACACAACACCCAATACTCAACAGCCTCCTTCTCCAACACAACACCCGATACTCAACAGGCTCCCTCCCCAAGCTGAACTTGAAAAGAACCTTCTACTCAACTCCCTCCGTCTCCAACACAACACCCAGTACTCAACAGCCTCCTTCTCCAACACAACACCCGATACTCAACAGGCTCCCTCCCCAAGCTGCACCAAGAACCCCCCTTTCTCATGATTATATATATGATGTTATATATGATTCCTACGATTTTCGGACTCACTTTTGAGGCTCTTTTTGGAAGACTTGTTGAGCTCCCTTCTACTCAACTCCCTCCGTCTCCAACACAACACCCAGTACTCAACAGCCTCCTTCTCCAACACAGCATCCGATACTCAACAGGCTCCCTCCCCAAGCTGAACTTGAAAAGAACCTTCTACTCAACTCCCTCCGTCTCCAACACAACACCCAGTACTCAACAGCCTCCTTCTCCAACACAACACCCGACACTCAACAGGCTCCCTCCCCAAGCTGAACTTGAAAAGAACCTTCTACTCAACTCCCTCCGTCTCCAACACAACACCCAGTACTCAACAGCCTCCTTCTCCAACACAACACCCGATACTCAACAGGCTCACTCCGTCTCCAACACGCACACACATGTACTCCAGATCCTACCACCACAACACGACGCGACACCCGAAACTCCAACCGCACCCGCCCTCCTTTTCTCTTGGCATTTTCCAAGAGAAAAGGGGGGTTCATGGTGGGTGCACCGGCCTATATATATATATATATATATATATATATATATATATATATATTGTTACTTGTGTATTGCTTTATTTGTTTAGTTATTTTTGTTGTAAGAGAGCAGAAAATCCACCCCCACAATAAGCACCCCGACAGGCGAAGCCGTTCAGCAAACGCACCCATGGAAGGAATCGAACGGGGCAGGGCT